TCTTTTCTGGCTACTTATACGCATAAAATGTACAATATATTGTTAACTGTATTCACCCTTCTGTGCTGTAGGACACTAGAGCGTATCCCACCTGTCTGCCTGTAATCGTGCATTTGTTAACAAACCACTTCTTATCTCTCAGTCTCCTCCCATTCCTAGCATCTCATAACCACTACTCTACTATTTACTTCTAGAAGATGAACTTTCTTAAACTTCCACATAACATTGAGAAAATGAGGTATTTATTTTTCTGTGTCTGGCTTGTTTCACTCAACACAACAGTGCCCAGTTCCATCCATGTTGCTTCAAATAGCAGAATTTCATTTTTAAGGCTGAATAATATTCCATTGTGTAAATATACCCCATTTTATTTATCCATTCATGTGTTGATGGACACACACGTTGATTTCATATCGTAGCTATTGTGTTTAGGGCTGCAATAAACATGGGTCTACACATGTCTCTTCAATATTAGTTTTTTTCTTTTAATTATTTGAAAAGCATATATACACTCAGCTGTTGTATTGCTGATTTATATGGTAGTTGTCTTTTTTTCCCATGATGGCTGTATTAATTTACATTTCCACGAGTGGTCTATAAAAGTGTTCATTTCTATGCAGCCTGGCCAGCTTTTGTTTTCCTTATTTTGTCTTTCTAGTAACAGACATTCCAGCAAAGATTAAGGAAAAGGTAGCTTATTGTGAATTTGCGTTTTCCTGATATTAGTTATTTCTAGCAATTTCTCTATCTATCTATCTATCTATCTATCTATCTATCTATCTATCCTTTGCATGCCTTCCTCTGAGAGATGTTTATCCATGTTATTCACCCATTATTAATCATATTGTTATTTGCAATTCAGTTGAGTTTATGTGCTTGATAGTAATCCCTTGTCATATGAATAGTTTTCAATATTGTCTATCATTTGTGGTTCTCTCCTCATTCAACTGTTTCCTTTACTGTGCTGGAGGTAAACTTCCTTGATAGAACCAGGACAGGTGGGCTGAGGTGCTTCAGGACATTGGAGGGGAAGAGATGGACCCAATATCCAGAACCACGTGAGCGTTTACTCACCATGTGGTTTGTTTTCTGAGTTTATGGTATGAACAGATGCAAAAGAGTTTGTCACGGCCTTCTGTCGGGTTAAGCATTTTAAGGGAGAATGATACATCTTATTAGTCAAATAAACGAAAATATCATAAATGTGTATATGTACTTGTGAGTGGGGGTCGCTCAGCAGTGTGTGTTCATCCCCTGAAAAGAGAAAATTATGTCTCCTGTGAAAAGAATACATAGCTTTTGACATATGTGGTTATTATTGATGACAACTGAGCCTGGATACTAAATCTTGTTATAATGCTAGTGGGAAGATTCAACAGAAGAAAGAATGTCATAGCAACAAAAAGTGAAGCATCAAAGATTTAAATGAAATGACTTTGAATATTACTAGTAATGAACACCCCAGGAAAAATCAATTACTAAAACCAGAAGAATAATTCATGACCATCCATGGGATTTATGCTGAGAAAATATAAAATTTCCATTCAATGGCTCATCACCACCCTCAGAAAATGGTTCAGAGAACAAACTAAGAACAGAGTGTGACCTTACATCAAGTGGAGGCCAAACATTTTGGAGAGAGAGAGCCTGTGTTGGAATTGTGAGAAGTGGAAACCTGAACTCTGCAGAGAAGCAGCAGCCATCAAAGACAGTGCTGAGTCCACTTGAGTTTAGTGGTGAATACAGTAAGGATGGGTTTCTCTGCCCTCATTCAGTTTTTGCTCCCAGTATGCTCTTGGAAGCTCAGTTGTGAACATTTGGAATCTACCTAAATCCCAATCATGAAAAGCAATTTTTCAGTGAAGAAAGAGGTAACATTTTGGTGGCAATTAAATTTAGGTTATAAATATTAGATTTTGAAACCTCAATGTCACTCTCTAGTAATTTATATCATAAAATACTCAGCCTTATCAATGGAGTCCTCTTATCCTATCAGGGATGAGTGTCCATGTGGACACGAGGTGCAGTCATGGAGGCCGAGGAGACGGTCTGTTCAGGCTTTCCTGGTCCTTCAGAGGAGAAGCGCAGTCTCGTCTCCTCCCTTAGTCCTACCAATTTTCATATGTGTGTGTGGCCCTTGAGAATGTCATTTCCATGTCTCAACATAATAGGAGTCAAATGGGGCATGAAGCTGATATGCTGGGCGTATCAGTGTAGAATTGGGCAAAGAAAATACCTGCACACATGAACTGTTGCATTATCCAGGCCTGGAGCCTCTAACATCTAGGCTTTGCATTTCATCAGCGATTTTCTGTGTTGTTTAGTCGGTTCATATGTTCTTTTTAACTTTCTACTGAAATGGACTTATGTAATAATCTAGAGGCACAAAGATTAATGAATAACTTGTTTGGAAATTTACTCAGGTTCCAGGTGGGGTCATAATTTGTGGTGATAGTGAGACAGGGAGAAGCATGACTGGAAACTATGTGCACATAAATGCTTCATGTTAATAGGGAAGACCTTGGACACACAAGAGATTTAGACAGTGCCACTGAGAACCTCGACCTAATATTATTTCTTATGACTCGCACATCAATGGTAAAACTCTAGGTTAATGACTAAAACTGCTGTTACTAATGTAAGATTTCCTTTAGAACACAGTCCTCTATCTGATATAAAATCATCCCAGATGGCAAAAGTGATTGTATTTATTAGAACTTTCTAATTTGTCAAACTAGGAAAGAAACACCTTTGGACACGGTGCATGGCTTTGGGGTGCTTTGTAAACAAAAGAGCATCTCATATGTTCAGGAAAACCTGGCAAAATGGGCAAGTTAGGGAACTCTTAGAGGCACTCCTGTATCCCAGATTCCGGGCAAGTATAAAGGTGGAAGTCAGTGCAAAAAGAGGTAACACTAAAGCTAAGAAAACTGCCACACCGTATCATATCCTCAGAAGAGAAAACTGCTGAGACAGCCACAGATGTTATCAAAAACATCAATGCCTAGGCTCTGATCTTCAACACGAATGAATGAAAAAACATCATTATCAACTTTGCTTAATTTGTGCCAGATTATTTCAAATGAATACGTGTTGCATTTCAACTCTACAGTTTATAGACAAACTGGTTGTCAGATTAAATAAACAAATTGAGGAAATAGCAAAGGTTAATTCTTGATGAGGTGTGACCAGCTAGCCACAAATTCCTGGGAGAACCCTAACATAGGGACCTAGACAAAAACCAAGCCACAGGGCCCTTTGGACACAGTTAGGTCAACTTTCCTCAATTTCTACCCTTACTGGGATGTGAATGTATTTTATTTATCATCTATCTGTTCTCCGTGTCTTGAAATAATTCCTTGAGAAAAGGCTACAGCCCTTTCAGATGATTAAAAACTTTTGTATTTTGTATTTTTAGCCTCTAACCTGCCAGGTTTTGCATGAACTGAGTGAAGCACACCTATGGAAGGAACTATTATAAAGTGATTCTGTGATGCACGACTGATGCTAAAGCACGGCATTGTTATAACTTCCCATAATCTTCCACATAAGTTTAGAAGAATTATATTCTTACATTTAAATTATCATAAGTTTAATAAACCCTGGAACTCCCTTGGACAAATGTACTCCTACTAGCACTGTGGCATTATGGTCCTCTGCCCCAAGGATGTTTCTGTTATTGTCCTATGACTTGGTAGCTGGAAAAAACACATTTAGAGGTTTTACCTCCAATACTGGCCTGTGGTCCTGAGGAGATGGCCTAACCCAAGGAGAGGGAGGCTCCAGGTCGTGTGGACTCACATGAGGTGCCCGCTTCTGCCCATCCTGCAGCCACTCCCAGAAGCCTTCAGGAGACAGGGGTGCGGATGGTCCTTTGAGACGATCAAATGAGATCTGGAACTGAAGAAAAAGATAATGATCTGGGATAAATTTTTTAAAATTAAAATAAAAAATTTTAAATTCACAAATTATGGTTGTTCATATTTACAAGGTAAGAAGCAATGTTAAGACTTGTGAATACAATATGGAATAACTAAGATAATTAAGAAATGATTAAGATAATTATCATTCATCATCTCAAATTCTTGTCATTTATTGTGACAACCACATTTGAAATTACCATCATTTAACAGTAGTTAAATGAAGAAATATAAATCAATTGATATAATTAAAAATAACCAAAATCAATTATGAAATGCACAAATAATTTACATTTAGCTCATCATTAAGTTTGATTCTTTAGGCCATATTTTTAGAATTAATTTATTGTATTGTATATTATGAATTCCTACACATGTATGCATATGTCTGTGTATTTATACATTTTTCTTTCTTTCTTTCTTTCTTTCTTTCTTTCTTTCTTTCTTTCTTTCTTTCTTTCTTTCTTTTTTTTTTTTTGAGATCGAATCTTGCTTTGCCGCCCAGGCTGGAGTGCGGTGGTGTCATTTTAACTCACTGCAATCTCTGCCTTCCGTGTTCAAGTGATTCTCCTGCTTCAGCTTACCGAGTAGCTGGGATTGAAGGCGCGCGCCAATACGCCCAGATAAATTTTGCATTTTTAGTAGAGACGGAGTTTCACTATGTTGCCCAGGCGGGTCTCGAACTCCTGGCCTCAAGTGATTCGCCGCCCCACAGCCAGGCTTCCAAGGTGCTGGGATTACACGCGTGAGCCACCGCGCCTGGCCTATACATCTTTCTATGGTTGTAAATTTGTGTCCCTATAGCTTTGTAGCTGCTGATGTCAACAAATGTTAATAAAACTCTGGAATAATCCGTGCAAATAATTAGGAATGTTTACTTCATTAAAGTGTATTCGTGTATATATATAATTTTTAAATTACTAAAATTTAAATACTAGCAATAATAAATTCATAATAAACACAAGTAATAAAATGTCACAGCCTAGAATTCTTCAGAGTCCGGCAAACACAAACCTGACTTTTCCAGCTGATGAGAAAGGAAACCTCCCCCTGCACCTGCTCCTGGGACCTGTCCCGTCCTCAGTGGGTCCCGAGCGCCCCCTGGTGGCCCCGCGCGCCCCTGCAGGGAGATTTGTGTCTGGGCTCACACTGACCTCCCCTCATTGTGTGTCCAGTACAGTAATACACGGCCGTGTCCTCTATTTTCAGGCTGTTAATTTGCAGATAAAGCGTGTTCTTGGCGTTGTCTCTGGAGATGGTGAATCGGCCCTTCACGGAATCCATGAGGAATGTGGTACCCCCATTAGGATTAATTTGTCCAACCCACTCCAGCCCCTTTCCTGGAGCCTGACGGACCCACTCCATGTAGTCGTCACTGAAGGTGAATGCAGAGGCTGCACCGGAGAGTCTCAGGGACCCCCCAGGCTGAACCAAGCCTCCCCCAGACTCCACCAGCTGCACCTCACACTGGACACCTGCGAACACAGAGACACCCTGGTTAGAAACTGCCACCCATAGCCACTGTTTCTCTCACTCATGTCCCCTCACACTCAGTGTCTCTAGTTCACCATGAATTACCTTTGAAAATAGCAACAAGGAAAACCCAGCTCTGCCCGAACTCCATGGCTGGTCTTCTGTGTTCAGTGCTGGTCACCAAGTGGAAACTCCTGGGAATCTCAGGCTGGGGCTCCTCTCCCAGAGCTGCAGGGTCAGGGCTGGGCTGGTTTTCATCAGCAGAGGGAAGACGGTATTTGCATGTCTCCTACTATATGGCAAGCACTGGGGTGGGACGCCTGAGAAGATGGTCCCCAGATGAGATGACTGTGCCTTGCAGGAGTTTGGTGACAATGATGGTATTTGGAAAATATGCTGTCTCATTATAAAATTATGCTGTGATAAACACTATGAAATGATCACCCTATTTTATTTGTACATACTTGTGTAAATTATGTTTTGTCAGAGCCAATGGTTTCTCCATGTACAAATGCTAAGTATGTATCTAAGAGCTCATGTCTGGGATGAGTAAGCCCCGATACCTGAGCCTGTGCTCCTCATCACTGGCCCCAATTACTCCCTGAAGCAGCTCCAGGACAGAGGCGGACCTGCCTAGTGTGGTTTGTGGAACCCGTTTCCTGTATTGGAAACATGTGTGATTTTGCTGCATTCTAGAGTTTACCTAAAATATGGTGAGAACTACGGTTCAGGTAGAGAAATTCTTAAGTATTTCTGAAATTTAATATACATTTTTTTCTATATTTCTGTCACTCCTTCTTTATCTAAGTTTCCATTTGTTGCTTGTAATAAATTTTATGTTTCCATTTGGAGATAATAAACTTTCACATATTTAAAGTCTACAGTTGATAAACGTGATGTAACCTTTATCATTATCAAGGTGGACAAGAGAATTCTCAGCATTTCCTTGTTTTCTTCTATATTCTTACTCCTTTCCCTTTCTTTTTTCTTCTACCATTTCCCTGGCAACTACTGATCTTTATATTGCTGCAGATTCATTTTAATTTATCATAATTTATAAAAATGAACTAACATAGTATATATTCTTATTTGTTTGGCTTATTTTAGCTTGCATAAATAATTAGATATTTTGCTTTGTAGTTGTGTATTTCAGGCACTTATTACAAATGCTGGGTAGTATTCTAGCAAACAAAATTTATCATAATTTGTTTTTTATTAAGCAGCTGAACAACATTTGAATTTTTTATTATTCTGGGTCTTAAAAATCTGCTGTTAAGCTTGGAAACGTACTTACAAAATGAATATATTTTTCATATTTTTTTAAAAACTGCATCAACAATAACAGATAAACATGGAAGATGAAATTTTGCAAATGTTCTTTAATACTACTGATAAGTATTAAACAGAAGTAATATTCTGATAAGTTTCAAAACATACAATAAATCTGAAATTTAGGAAGAAGCAAGTTCTTGTAGAAAGTAATAAAGCTAGAGTATGAAATTATCTAAGGCAGAGTCTGGAATATAGGCTATTCCAAGAAAAAATACAAATATATGTTGGATGGTTTGAAATATAGTGTGGCAAGTGTTTTGTAGTGTAAAATTTTAAGGGACCACATACTAAAAAGCTAACCTATCCTCTTGAAATCCTTTCAACAAGAAAGGGAACGGTCACAAAAATCTTCCTTTCTCGAAATGTCTGTTTGGGAGAAAAGAAGAGCCCACAATTCTAAAATGTATTCAGACCCAACTCCCTTATTTCCACTACAGAACTAAGAATTTATTCTGCAAAGGCAAGCCACTGAAACAAGAATCCTAGGGGCACTAGTTCAACCCCTCAGGAATTGAGATGGGAACAGACGTCCCCACCAAAGGTCTATTGAGAAGCAGCTCCCCTCTTTTTCTTATGGAATCAGAGCCTTAGTCTGCAGGGCAAGGCAGCATGTCTGGAAGGTGATGGCACCGATGGAGAACACTGGAGCTGTGGGAGGGAACACCCGGGGAAAACAGGAGGACTCTACCCCAGGGGAAGGGGCAAGAACACACAGACCAGCATCTCATCTGGAGGAGGGTCAGAAACACTTAGAAGTTCACGCCCAGACTCCAGGTCACAATGCCTTCCTAGGAATATGGACCAAGGAATATGGTTCTGGGAATATGGACCCTTTAGTCTAATTTAGAAATTGTCAGTAAATAAAACACTGGAATGCACCCGAGGGAGCTGAAGAAGATTCTCTGGAGGATGGAACAAGGTGAAGAGACAAAGTCAGGCAGAAAAGACAAAGAAGGTATCATTGGAGGATCTGTAGTCTCTGGTAGGCATAGAGGGACAGACTTCAATTCGTTTTTGAAACCTTTATATCGGCCTTTAGTAATTCTTATGATAAAATGGTTGGCCTCATCAATGGCGTCTTATTTTCCCTATCAGGGATGAGGGTCCATGTGGGCACATGGTGCAGTTCTAGTCATGGGGGCAGGGGAGATGGTCTGTTGAGGTGTTCCTGGTCCTGCAGAGGAGAATTGCAGAAATGTCTCTGCCCCTTTTCCCACCAATATATAATATATGTGTGTGACCCTTGGGAATGTTGTCACCATGTCACTGCATGATGGGAGTCCCCTGGGGGTGAAGCTGACTTTGTGGATTTCCATCAGTGTGGAAAACTGAGAAAGAAACTGCCTGGGCACATGAGCTGTCGAATTATTCAATCCTGGAGCCGCTCATATCCAGGCTTCCTGTTTCATCAGGTTGTGATTTTCCTCATTGTTTGGTCAGCCTAGGTTGTCTTTCTTCACTCTCTACTAAAATAGCCACACATAATAATCCAGAGGCATTGAGATAAATCAGCAAGTAATTGGATAACTAGAATGAGCCCCAAGTGATGTCAGTTACTGTGTAGTTAATAATGTAGACAGGAGACCTGGCTGGATACTAAGAGTGTGTTCACATCTGTTTTATCTAGACTAGCAAAATGGATATGTTGAAAAATGGCATCTTTAAATATAAAACATAAAACTTCTAATAAAATATGGAGACTCTCTTGGCCAAGAGTTATCCCACTAGCACTATGGCACTCTTGTCCCTCCCTCAGGACACATCAGTTACTATCCTATGACTGGGAATCTGTAGGATTCATACATTGAAAAATATTACCCTCATGGTTCACCTCTGTCCTATTCCATGTATGTGTTACACAATATTGAAAGTAATTTTTGTATTATACTCACTCCAATCACCAAGAGTTTAAGGTTGCCTTTTTATGTCATCTTTTACCAGTGCTTTATAATCTTCAATCATGGCATTATATATGCTGGAAGAAACATCAGGAAAAAATTCTGCTGTTGAAACATTGGAATAAATCTTATCAGGCACTATTGACAAAAACACTGCAGAAAAAAATTCAGGGAATCAATTCTTGTGTGATATTTCGCAACTAAAGACTCAGATCAGACCAGATATGGTGGCTCATGCCTATAATTCCACCACTTTGAGAAGCAAAATTAGGGTAATCACATGAGACCAGGAGATCGAGACCAGCCTGACAACATAGAGAGACCCCATTTCTATGAAATAATTTTTAAAATCAGCTGGGTGTGGTGGTGCACCCCTCTAGTCCTTGCTACTCAGGAAGCTGAGACAGAAGGATTTTGTGAGCCAGGAGTTCAAGGTTACATTGACCTATGATTGTGCCATTGCGCTCCAACCTGTGCAAGAGAGCCTATCTCTAATTGTAATAATATTAAGAATTTTACACAATTGTAAGGCACTTCAAATAGAAGATACTAAACTAAATATTCTCAGGAATCCTCTGGCACTTCTGATGTTTTGGAGCAGAGAGCTCACCTAAGACATTCAGAATAAGTGGATGATTTTAGATAGTGAAAAGTCTCCACACAAGACATTAGGACAGGACCCTTGTGTAATCCCCTGCCTGTACCTTTCACCTCTTTCTCCTGATTTTCCTCATCCGTTTCATTATTAATTGCTTATTCTTATAAGCAGTCTTCTCATTTTTTGTAGATCTGTTGTTGTCCACCCATATTAGACACTGGTCTTTCTTTATTCATGATTTTTATAGTTGCTGTATAGAATAAGTCATCTGACTATTGTTTTGAGTCTGACTGCTGATAACTTAAGGCCGCTTCCTCCATCTTCTCCTTTCTTTCCCATGAGGTGAATAATCTAGTTAGGAATCACAGGAACTCCCCCATTTGACGCCATTGGAGGTTCAAGCCCCACAGACTCCTTTCCTGAGTGAGAACCCTCACGCCGCCTCCACCACCAAACCACTATAGAAACCCTGAGTCAGTCTCCTTTCTTGCTCTATTGAGCCATTTTGGACATTCCTAACAGATGAGCACTAATCTCCGCAGACAACTCCTGAGGTCATTAACCTTTCCATATTCATAAGCGGGAGTGTGCGGCACCCACAGATGTGACATCCACACGGCATTTTAGTTGAGATCTCTTGGCCTTTGCATTGTTTGAACTAGGACTGATGCTCTGAGCTTGGTGCCATGATTCCTCACCACAGGATGCCCCTGTTCCCTGAACCAACCCCAGGACAGAACTGGACATGCCTGGAGTGGTTGATTAACCTGTTATGTAATGAAATCATGAAATCACTGTATTCTAGCATTTCCTTAAAAATATAGGTAGGCATAGGGTTGATTCACATGTGTATTCCGGGTTCTTTGATTTCATATATATATATATATTTAATTAAATCTTTAATTCTGTGTTGAGAAATTTAAAATTTCTTCAGTTTGGTGAGTGAAGTCCTTATGCCATTGTTCTGTGATTTTCCTTTCTATTTCTCTTATGTTTTATTCATCTCTGTCTAATTCATTTTCTACCAAATTATATGTGTTTAAATTTGTAATATTTTAATGAGGTGACATTAGCAAATAGTAGCCATCCTGTATCGTGTACGGTTTGGCAAATAGTGACATAACCATTACGTTTCTCAATATAGAAAAAAAAATCAACCACCCTCAAAATTTCTTCCTGTTTTCCTATAACTCCCGCTTCCTCCACCTTCCCTTCTCACACCACATCCAGAGTCAACTGCTGGTTTTCTTTATGTAACATTAGATTAGTATTCATTTTATAGAATTTATAAAAGTGGAATAGTATATATGGACTTGTATTTGTTTGTCCTTTTTCACT